CGCAGGCTGCCACACCAACACAGAAGGGGACTTTGGCAGAAGGGGATTTTGGCAGGGGTGTTCTCATGCCCTGCACCCCCTGACCAGACATACAGATTGCGTTAACCTCAGTCGCACCCTTTCCTGAAGTCCTGGCCTTCTTCCAGCCTCATCTGTGCCCTGGGCACCACTTTGTCAAGGATACCTTCACCTCTGCTCCTTGTGTTCTTGGTCATGTTGGAGGCTGTGCTACTGCTGTGACTTCTAGCTAGAGCGAAGCTGGAACGGGCTTGTTGTCACACACCTGCCTCAGAAGAGCTGGGGAACTGCCATCTTGTGCTGCAATCTTGCCTTCATTTTGCCCAGGAGCAAAATGCTTGTCTGCTTGTCTTTTCTGATCTCTGCAGTGCTTACTAGAGTTGGGTTTGCCTGGGCATTGCAGTGATATAAATAAAATACTATGCCACAGCTAAATTTCCCTTATAAATCCATGATTTATGGATATACTACTTTACCCAGGGTACTGAAGCTCAAGGAGGAAATTAAAGGGAAATGCAAAGCAGGAAATTCCTCTCCAAGGAGAGGAACACATTCACTTTCTGCGAAATGTGAAAATTTATCTTATCAATCAAATCAAAAAAATTATATCAATTAAAAATTAATTAGGTTCTCAGATTCTCCTGTATGCTTTCCTGTGACCTGTTAGTCTTTAGTCTTTTGCTTATAGTCTGTTTTATATTACACAGAGGAATACAGGTACTGAGGATACATCGTTGTGTTTGGAAGGCGACCATTTGGATGTGTTTCTGTAAAAGCACTGAGGTATCTTGCACCTGAAACCACCTCTGTGGGTGTTCAATCAAACTGAAAACCAGGCATACATGTGCATATTTAAAGATGCTTTATTTATTTATTTTTTATTTAGGCCTGTATTGGAAAGCCATAATTTTAAGCTGTTTTTCATCTTTTCTTGTAAGCCTTCTAAACCTCTTTCAGCCTTGTCTTCTAAAATTTTATTATAGAATCAATTTATTTAAAAATCAGTGAAGATGGTAGGAAGACTGTTTGAAAGAAATCAAAGGTACTCAAATTCTAATATGTCCATGTCTGAATCAAGATTATTGGGTTGGACATAGTTACTTTTTCTTTATATTTGAAAAAAAAAATAAGCTTTTTTAAATTTCAATGTAATAGAAAATCCTGGAAACATCAATCTGGAGAATAATCATCAACTATTGGGGGAAAAAAATGCTAGCTCTTCAAATGTGCACGTTATTCCAAGCACTGTAGTAATGCACATTCCCTATTTCTGAGAATCAAACTGTTTAGACACCTAATGAAGATGTTTAGTATTAGCAAAGGAGTCAACGTGATATAGAATACAAGATTATTATCTTTTAGTTGAAGCCTATGACCCTGTGCAAACTAATTCTTGAAAATATTTTCCTTGAAACTTAAATGCAGGCACCTGTTTTTGAGATATCCGAGGTAATTAAAAGAGGAAGCTGACTCACAGGCCTTGCTTTTGCCACCTAAACTCAATAACAGGAGCAGAAGTCAAGCTGGCATTCTGCTTGTGCACTAGCAGGGCTGTTTTTGATCCCCGGCCTCTGGTATTTGGATTATTTGCTTTCCCTCTCTTAATCTCTGTGGGGAAACTTTTCCTCACTATTTAAATATTAAATCCTCACCCTCCTGGAATGTTGCAGTATACTGCATACAAACAGAGATGCAAGGGCTCATTTTTTTTCAGTGCAAACCGATTTTGAGTTCAACTAAGTAGGCCCCTGTTCATCTGCTCTGAGGCTACGCACACCTCTTGTGCAGGGAATTTTACATCTGTAGATACATCTGTTGCTCAAATAGAGCAACAAAGATCCAGTAACACTGAGACACATCAGAATCTTTAGCTATGTAGGTTGCAGCTTCCCTCTTCTGGCAGCAGTAACAGCAATAGCGATTATAAAGGACATCAGCTTTCTCCAATTTTGGTGTTAAACACAGTTTATCTAAACAGGCCCCAGATCTACATAACCCATCTAAGGTATCTGACTTTTCATCCAGAGATGTTACAAGGCCTACCTGTAGCTGAAAGGTAGTATTGTTCTGTTCTTCCAAGCATTTTTTTTAGAAAAATCAATCTTCCTCCAAACTTCCTCTGTAAAATTTCAGCTGTGCTACTTGCTTCACGTGTAGCTTGCACAGCTGATGTGGGCAGTAGCCCTTGATAAACACTCCATTTTACTGGCGGACACAGATGTTTTCTTTTTATCTTCTTTTAAGAAGTAGGTTGTTTCCTAAGCACTCCTAAAGCACTTAAAAATCCATAGATTTCGTAAAGCGCTTGTATTGTTTTTTGTTGCCGATCAGATTTGTTGTCCTTTCTCAGCATTTTGCAATGTTATCTATTTTGTACTGAAACAGCAGAAGAAGAGCAAAAGAGAGGGAGTTAAGAAGTTAATAGCTAAAGAACAGTAACTAACTTTAGGAATTTAGTTATTGTGCTAGTTAACTAACAAAAGGCTAGTTAACTAACAAAACTAACAACCTTTCTAGATGCATTTCCCCACTAATTAAGAGAGTTTAGAGAGTGGGATACTCTCAGAAGTAAATGCAATTAGGAAAACCAAAAAAGAGTTCTGCTGGTGAGCTGGCTGGGTGCTTATGGATTTATGTTTCCAGAATAAATGCTTTGGCCTAAAGCTGACTTTGAGGTATAGATGTTTCCAAAGTGCTTCAGTGATAGTGCATCTACCATGCCAATAGCTTGTACTTGCCTTTGGAAGCATCTGTCTAGTTTCCTGACAATTTCAGCTTGGGCTTCTTTACCAGAGGTGTTGAGGAAGAACTGAGGAAGTATTGATAGATGTTAGGGAGAAAACCTGGAGAAATCCCACAAATTTGAACAAGTTCAGCAAGAACTGCAGGAGCAGCTGCCAGGAGAAATACAGTATTGGGAGCACAGTCACTTTTAAGGCCATCGGATGTAACTAATGAATGAGGGCAATAGTCTGCAGTACTTTGCAAAACGCCACCAATATAAGCACTGAAACATGAGGTATTTTTATTATTTTAATATACAGTATTTTACAACAAAGTACATAATAAAGTAGAATTATCAAAAGATTGTTTACCAGTCACCGATACGCATTATTTGACTTACTGCTTTCATCTTTATTTTGCTGATTATTTTAAAGTGTCAAAGTATACAAACTTACATACAAACTACTTAAGGCTGGATTCTCCTGGAGCAGCTTTTTTAAGACAATATCAATATCTCCTCTGCAATTGTGATCGATTGATAGCAGATCCACCCTGATTCTGCTGCGAGTGTCCTGCAGTGTTCACCAAAGGGGCGGGTATATTCTATAACAAAACAGAGAATGATAATGTATATACACACACATATATATATGATTATATATAACATATAATTCAAAAAGCATCATTTGATGATACCATGTGATCTATTCTCTATCATATGAACCGCTGTTCACTCTATCTGGATTTAGAGGTTGTTATTACAGAGTACAATGCCATTCATTCCAAATACTGAGTGCAAATAGGAGAATTAAAGCGGGAAATCATGTTGAATGACATAAACATTAAAGGAAATCCTTCTCATAGCACAAAATTTGACAAAATCTCTGACATCTTTATATTTTCTCAAGTTAGGAACTTGTTTGACAGCTGTTCACTTTTATCATCCAGAACAATTCCAGGCTGACGGCTGAGACCTGAATCAATAGCTAGACAGCTGTTTAAATAGTTGAGTATATACTTTTAGGGAAAAAAAAAAAAGAAAGGTTTTAAATGTCCATCAGAGCACTGATAGCTCCAGAAGAGCCAAGAACTCAGGAAAAGGTAATGGGTAGTGGGTACAGCTATAAAACTATAAAGCCTTTATTTATTTATTTTTAAGTAGGTTATGAAGAAAATCACAAAGAAAACCATAAAATGCTTTATTAACATATTTAGACCCAATAAAGGCAACTATGCCACACTAAGTGCTGCAAAATACAAGACTGAAGGGTTATTTCGCTATAAGAATCAAATTTTCAAGACAGGAGGCAGATGAGAGCAAGCTGGGGTCCTAAGGCACACACAGTACTGCAGCTCACAGGAACTAATGGACGCGCTCTGCATTCTTTTCACACTCCCACTTCAAAATCAGACAATCACTTGGAATTTAGGAGTTTGGTAACATTCTGGGCTTTTTTCTTTCTCAAATTCAGGAAGTGGAAGAAGCTTTCTGAATAATGGGTATTTTCTCTAACATTTCGGGCAACAAATTAACCAATAAAGAACTATATGAAGTATATGATAACTTATCTCTATTTTTTTCCTAGGAGGTTGCGTGCATGTGTGTGCAATAGTAATGGAAGAGACTAATAACAACTGTAAACACTAATTGCTGAATTATAATCTGATAATTTGAAGTGTAATATTTGTGGGATTTTTCTTTTTTGGGGGGGAGGAGGTAAAGGGAGATATCCATCTGTCTTTTCCATCTTCTATACTCCAGGAATCCTGATACTTTTGTTTCAAAGTGACAGAATCCATAATATATGAAACATAAAATACAAACAGTCAAAGAAGAAATGTAATGCCTATTACTTATAGAACATAGCATATCTGCAGGTCAAAATGGGAATGTATTGTATTACCAATAACTTTACACACTACCATGTATTATTTCCCTCCTTACTTTCTTTAGGAAGAAAATAGTTATGAGCTCTGTGTAGTTCAAATGACCTTGCTGAATTACAGCTCTGTGAAGGTTCTTAGAACTTACTGGGCTCTTCAGGTGTCCTCAGATTTGAAGGGGAACTGAAGCCAAACACTGAGACAATTTGTTTTAAATCATCAAAACCTGATCACAATGCTATAAAGTTTGTTAGTAGATTCTTATTGTTTTTTTTTTTTTTACACAAATGGAAATCTGAACATATGGAAAGGCATTTACGCAGACTAATGTCAATATTTCCAATTACATTTTTACTATAAAATAATCCATAAAGTCAGCTAATAGAAACTAAAGCTGAGCCAATTCTTACCAAAGGAGAAATTAGCTGTAAAACACTTGAAGTAGATATGTTTCTGGTAATGGCTTCTTGTACACCTAAAAATAACATAAAATTATACTACTATTATTATTATTATAAATTATACAATTTCTATTATTTAAAACAAATATTAGAGAAGAAGTATGATTTACAGTCAAATATTCACCAGAGAAAGAAGACTGAAGACTGTGGAAATGTAGTTTAATAGCAGTGTTGTTCCTTTGCCATTTTTACCTTTGCCTCTCTTTTTATTGTCCTTTCTCTGTTATTTATGTATAAATTTATTTTCCATTTTCTTGTATTTCCCTCACAATATCTTCTGCCTAACCTGAGCATACTATAACTCCTCACCTGAAAAAGAAGGAATTCTTGACTTCTATTTGCCTGGAAGCAATAACCGTAAGTTACAGGGTAATGAAATTCTGAACCACTGTTTGAGAGGAGTGAGAACTGTTATTGCAGAGAATTTCTAAGTGGCTGCAAAGTTATTTTATCCTGCTGATTTAGTCTAGAGGAAAGTGAACTCTTTTCCCCCCAAAGTCAAGCAATCCACCATTTGATGTAGGAACATATGGAGAGTGTGCAGGAGCTTAATAGCATAAAACAAGCCTTGGTTTAGTTTAACTCCAACAAATAGGAGCTATTTCAAAGTGTGAGGGTGGAAGAGAACTTGGGTAAACTGACCATGAAATGATGCAGTTGACAGTATTTCAGGAAAGAAGTAGCATAACAAAATAAAGCCAATGAACTTCAAGAAAACAGACTCTAGTAAATGAAAATAATCAGCATGTAAGATTTCATAGGAAATAAAGGAAAAAAAAGAAAGTTCAGGAGTGTTGGCATTTCCATAAAGACTATCCGTGCCAAACAAGTTATATCGATGATATGGAAAGCCAGGAAGTGCAGTAAAAAAGCCCACAAAGGCTCACGCACAAACTCCCCATTGATTTCAAATATAGGATGGAGCACTAAGTATGTCAAATTATGTCAAACTCCTGACAATCTGTATGAATTACCCGTGCGACCACATAGGTCAAAGCCAATACTAAACACCAGATACAGTAGCAAAGGACTCAAAAAGTCATTCCACACTCAGGTCAGCTGAAAGAAGACAATCAGTGACAATGGTGACTCCTTACTCAATAGAGAAGAAAATTACGGAGAGAGGAACAAGCACAGACTTTTCTCAACATTCTTCACCAAAATGTCAGCTGTGATCAGATAGTTCATATAATTATCAGCAGCCTAAAGCAGGTGAGAAATAACAGAATCACAGAATAGTTTGCATTAGAAGGGACTGATGGAGTTAATCAGCCTGGCATACAGAGGGAACAGGTTAGGGAGCACTCAAGTAAGACATGTTAAAAATACTTGGGCAAATGATATTCACATAAATGCTCAGAGTTGGCTATAGCAGGCTCACAACTGTACTCATCACCTTTAAGAGCTTATCCAGAAGAGATACATTCTAAAAGACTAGAAAAGAGAAAATGAAAAGCTACTCTATACATTGAAAAAAAAAGCTGAAAAACCCAACATTCAAATGAATTTGCACGAAAAAAGAACTACTGGAACATATAATCAAACACTTTAAAAGTATCTAGGTTCTGAGAAGAAAAATAATGGTCAAGAAATGGATCTGCCAAGAAAAAACGTTATAAAATCATTCTATTTTCTTCTAGGACAGGTAAAAAAGTTTTGGTAAGCCTTTTGCCACTTACATTCTGTGAGAAATCTAGAAAGGCTTAATGTAGATCCATGCCAAGAAATCTCTTCCTTTGGACAGTGCAATGGGCTTTTGAACACTTCTGAAACCCACTCATTAACATGCATGGACTGTTATTCACAAACAGTTGGATAAGACACCTGATCCACAGTCATGGGCTATATGGGATTAAATCACCATCCATATCCTCTTGGATCTTGGATTTTTCAAACCTAATCTAAAAGAGACTTGTAGAAATGTGTGTAAACTGGTGGAAAAGAGCATTAAAACAGGATCTCTCGGTAGCCCAGTGTCTACAGTTGCAGCCTACACTGCAAGTAGAATCCTCCTCCAGTTTGTCAGTATTTACATGAATGATGTAGATGACAAGAAGAGAAGTTTATTAAATCTGTAGATACTACCAAGCTTGAACGGGCTGCAAATCTGTTTGAAACAACAGTTTTGAAGCTTTTGCAGTTCTAAGAAAGACAAAAGATACTATGATGTATAAAAAGAAGAAGAAGACAACTGAAGTGCTATGTCCAGTTCTGGGCTTGATATCTTAAGAAAGAAATGAGTCAACAGAAGAGAGTCCAGAGAATAACAATAAGACTATCAGAGCTCAGTAAGACAACCAGAGGTTTATAATTACCAATGAGGAAAAGTTGAAATAAAAGGGAAAATATGAAAGCTTTCAAATGCATAAATGACAGGTACAAGAACAATGTTCTATAAGTCTGCTGCAATTAGGACAAAAATAATCATTATGTCAAAATTCAGGATGCATAAACAGATTCCTTAGTGAGGTTGGAATCTTTATCTCTTTGTACTTCCGAGAACAATTTTGACAGACATCCAGCAGAAACAACAGCTGCAATTGAGCTGATCCCCTTTCTGAAGGTTTCCTCCAGTCACACTTTTCAATGGCTTTTAACTGAGGCAAAGTTGCCATTTTTAAAAATGAATTTCAACAGACAATAAAGAATATTTCATGAATTTGCTAAAGGATAAAATAAAATGAAGTGAAAAAAAAAGTGTCCACAGAATCCTTGTTTTTCATCCAAACTAGCCAATGAAAAAAATACAAGGTTACTTAATCACTTGATGTAGAATTGTATTTATTAACAAACTTACTTTGTAGCCTTTGATCGAGGTGATCAAGAGACTGGAAAATCCTTAGTTCTTCCATTGAAAGTGCACTCATGCCTCGGCATTGAGCCTTATTAGGAAGCAAGGGTTGTGTGGCTGGTTGTGAACCTTCCATAGCTGCCAGGATTTCATCTTCTGCACACGATGTACCTGATAGTTTCTCTGCCATAAGAAACTGAACAGTGCTCTCTGAAACTGAAGAGATCACAGGAGTAATTTTTTGAATGAGAAGAGCTCATAGCGTTTAAATATACTGTTTGCTTTTAGGACTATAAGTCTGTAAAGCACACAAAATTACATTAAAAAATAAAGAGGTGGCAAAGTCAAGAAGTACCATACTTAAGTAAGTGGCATAATTAAGATCACTTGTGCATCTTGTAATGTGGAAGCACAGCAAGTTCCACCAGCCTTACAAATGGCAGCAACCAACACCTATCCATATTTCTATAATATAATTAAATACAAAGAGAAAAGGATTAAAACGTGACTATATTTTATAATGCTTTTAGGAAGAGATCATATCATGATGCACATTTTATATCATACACTTTTATGAAAAAAAAACAGCCTACACAACAAACTACACTTAGAATCATTAATGACAAAAACAAACAAACAAACAAACAAAAACCAAGGGATGTTAGATAGCAGGTATATTAGTTCTATACTTTATCTGTACAAAGAACTGAAGTGTTACTATACCTTCATCAGATTCATAGGTATTCTTCGTATTTTGTACTGGCTCAAATGCAGATTGAATAGGATTCAGCTGGACAGAAAAGGAAAAGCTGGTCACTTTGACCATTTTTATTATTTCATATTATTAAATGTAATATTTCAAAGTGCAAAAAACATGAGCATACACTAACAGAGTGTTTGTGTTCTAGCTGTTTGTATTATCTTCATTAGCAGTGACAGAAAGCTGACTAAGCATCAGAACTGTGTGACATAAAATAAATCTTTGGTATTCCCGAAACTCTTTCCATTTAGGGGATTAATCATCTTTGTTTAGACAGTATCTCATATTTACCTCTGTATGAGTGGACCTCCATCTTCTAGAGGCTACAGTTTTTCTTCTTTTTTCCAAAAAAGCTCTGTGTTTATTTTCACAGCTGTCAAAAATCTGATTTTGTCCTGTGACAGGAAGAATACCTTAAATGAGATGCAGACAAAAATAAGCCCAAAGTGTGTAAACACATGATAAAGGTTCTAGTAACAAAACTAGTAATGTCAGGTAAATTCTTCTGTCTAAATTTAGATGTTTACCTTGTATATGTTTACTTGTGATCTCTCTGAAAAAATAAAATCTGAGGTTAATCTATTGATAAGCACCCACATTTAATTTAAGTAACATGAAAAATGTGCCTAAGCCTACCTCTGTCCAGGAAAAGACTCATTGGGAAGTACAAGACAAAAATTCAGCAAGTAATAGTAGGGCAAGAGATACTGAGCAGGCTAATCCTTGTTTAACTCTCAGCATGTGAAGTAGTCCCGTGTTTGTCACAGACTAAATGTTAAACAGTTTTAAAGCATTTAACCAACATCAAAGAACTTAATTTTAATATCCAGCTACAGAAAATAATACATGCCCACCAGAAAAGAAATATAACTGAAGCCTGGAACCCCATTTAAAGAAATATCCTCATATAGAGCAATTTTATTTCGACTTATTCTTCTTTTAGCATACATTTGGCCACACATTGCAGCAGACCCCATTTTTCGCACTTTCCTCCCAGGCCTTATTGCAGCCTGCAGTGCTGCCACAGCAGAGAGCTGGACATGCACTCAGGAAGACCCGTGCAGTATTTGGTTGTCCTTAGCGTTTCAGGACAAAGTCTGTGGTGCTCTCTGTGCATGTACAGGCAATAGAACCAACCATGGCAAGTCACTAAGAGTTATCTAAAGTATTTAACATAAATAAGGCTTATGAAACCCAACCCATCTAAGCAGATATTGAAAAAGAGCCACAAAAAATATAAAAGAAGGTTAATCAGCTCTTCTACAAGCATTTGAGCTATCTAACACTGGAAATGTAGCTTTAAAAGTTGCAGGGAAAACAGTATGTGCAATTGCACATGCCCAAGTTTGGACCACTAAGTTTCCTCTTTCACTGAGTTGATGTCCAAGTGAGGACATAAACAGGTGAGTATCTCTGCTGGAGGCATCAGTCATGGCAACACAAGGCTCTTATAAATTTATTTCCTTGTAAAATCAAATAGGTGAACTTAAATAACATACAGCTAAGTTCATCTATGTAATTTTAAACTGGAATTGATAAACAGATTATATTTTGTATTTCTTCCACCTCCTTTAGGCCAAGAATATTCATATAACTCTGTTTCCAACAGAACTATTCTTAATCACCCAATAGATAAAACTATACATCTACTGTAGATAAAACTAGGAACCCATTTTTTAAGCTTTGGAAAATATTCATCCTGATAGAAAGTGTCTTGGAGCTGCATAACTGATCCTCGGGATGATCGCGGTACGTTGAGATGTCCGGGATGCTGCTCGTACATGAAGCAGGATTCACGGTTTCAGGGCTCTGCCTCCAGCTGCTGCTGACAACTCGTGCAGTCTAAGTCACAAGCAAAGGAAGTCATCACCGCCTGGAGGCAGAGATGCAGCGAGGCAGCGGAGGAGAAATAAGGCAAATGAAGAAGTTTGGCATGTAGTTGAAGCATAAAAAACAAGAGATTAAGGTTTATTTTCCTGATCTCTCTGGGAGATCTCTCCTTTATCTTGCCAATGCAGTATAGGTCCTAAAATTTATTTCAATTCTTTAAAAATCAGACATTGTCTGGTAGGGACTTCTTTTAACAGCAAATTTAAATCTATATATTTTTTGATAATTAACTATATTAAGGAGACTAACTCCTAAAAATTTTAGACATTTACAGTGTCAGAATTTAAAAGCATATTAGATGTACATTTCTTTCACTCTCAGGTGGCAGTGAATGTCAGACAGCAAGCTACAACTCCCAGCCACCTTGTAAAACTTGCTCATATAAACTTATTCTCTTCCTCTTATATTGTTATTGAACCATCTGTCATATCTACTCCTTGGCTAAGGATGTAAGTTCAGAGAAAGTACCTTGATCTTGTTAATACTGTATAGAGTTCATAAAAATGGGAATCAATATTTGATGGGGCTCTGGGACCAACAGAATACGAATGGTAATGGCCGGTTAAATATTGTTCATACTGGTGCATTGTGGTGAACAGAGAGTGAAATGTTTTCACTGAAAACAAATTTGTGCTGTTATTTTGAAAGACTTATTCGGAACGAAATGATTCTTACCAGTAGCACACTCCCTCTGAGCATTATGCTCTCCTTGCCGTGAGGCACTTGTTTTTTCAGCTGTTGGGATCTGCTCTCGATATAATCCATTTTCTGCTTTAACAGGTCTTCTTTTAGTGTAGGTTACTACTGAACAGTCTCGACAGGCATTTGCCTGAACACTGTTTACAGAACAAATATTTTTTGTCAAAGGTTTGTATTTAGACTTGCTACAAAAAGGTGTAGATAAAATCACAGTGGCCAAGTCAGAAGTGCAAGCATAACTGTTACTATTTTCTGTAATGTTTCCATTTAAAACCTGGTCTTCTAACAAAACATGCCTTTCATTTAAGTGGTTACAGTTAATATTGGTAGTTTGAAGATTTGAAGAATGCAGTGGTTGACACGCAGGCCTGGCTACAGTTTTGCCAGTTCTGTTTCCTGGCAGAGGTGCAGATGGTGGGTGAGGTGCTAAAATTTTCTCTTGAGCTTTTAAAATTTTGTTGGCTTTGGTAGCAGCCTGTGGACAGACTACAGTGCCTATTCTATTCTTGGGCATAAAACTTGACTGGGCTCTTGGTCGACTAGTTATCTTTGCCTTACTTTTGTGTTGACTCCCTTCGTGAATTTTAGAATTGCTAATACTTACTGGGGAGTTAATTTCTTCACCTTTTGATATCATCCAAGCTTGCTTAGCAAAATAGGATCCAGCTGACTTGACAGTATGCAGAGATATACTTGCTTTGTCTGATTCTCCAGCATTAACACTCGGTTTTGGTATCTGAGGATATTCCTGATGTTTTTCTGTGCCCAGTGAAGGTGAAGTGGGAGCAGCAACACTTAAAGTAGTCTTAGGAGCGTTACTTGTAGTTTGGACACTTTGCAACTGTGTAGAAGATATTTCACTGGTGTTCTCTTCACTACATTTTTCTTTACTTTTTATTATTACCTGGTGAGTTTGATCAAACCATCTTAAGTTTTGGTTATTTTTTTCATTTTCTGCATTCTTCTTTTTTATTTTTGCCAGCTCCAAACTGTCTCTGAGAGAAGACATGGGCTGAGTTCCAAAACGGATCCTGCGGTCCATATCTAGGGCTTTGAAATGACTATGTTCATATTTAGATTCTTTCTTTAAGATACTTTTGAATAACTCCACTTCCTTCCTCTCAGGAGTATTATTTGGGGAATGTCAGAATTGAACTCTGTATCAAACAACAGAGACGTAGTTTCAATCATTTTTCCCTTATCTTCTTTATTCTTTGTTTGCTTAACACTGCACAGAGTGGAAGCATTTAGTATGTCTTGAAATACAGATGATCCTGGATTAACATTATTAATACATTTTATATTTTCTTCTTTTTCTGTCATTTTGCCCGAAGTATTATTTAAAAAAACTGTACTGATGTTTTTGTCCTTTTGTGAAATATGAGCTGAGCAAGAAGTTCTGGGAATGTCAGTGGAACACCTCCGATTAGGAAACAAGATTACAGATGTTGCAAGAGGTTGATAGGAGGTTTGTACAGACACAGTTCTTCTCTGAGGGGCCATTTCAGAACTCTGATTTTGTATCAAATCCTGAATTCCTTCCCCTGAAACGGTCCAGGCTATGCCAGGTTTGAATACAGGACTATCAGTGGCTAATGTGCTTATCATTTCAGAACACAGATTGTTTTTTTCTTTTATATTTTTCAGAAAAGTGAACGAATTATGTATTGGTCCTTCTTGCTTATCAGCAGTAGAGACCTCTGAGGGTTGTTGTTCAGACCTGCAAGAAACAGTTGATTCCTCTTGTGCATTGTTTGTATGTTCAGCAAGAGTTAGAACTCTATGTTTAGCCAAAGGGTCAAGAATAGGTAAGTTGTTCTGGTTGTTTTTGGACTCTATATTTCTCAGACAATTATTTAGATGCCTATTTTTAGAAGAAGCATTTTCAGCTATATAAAGCAAACTGCTATTTCTAGTCTGTGATTTTTCTGGATTATACAGGGTACAGTCACACCGTGTAGCCAAGGATGATTCACTCGAAGTTACATAATTTCCGTTCTGATCTCCAGTTTCGAGACTGTCGAGGCTTGACAAGCTTTCAGAACTGGCTACTTTCTTGACTTCTTGATGAAAATTCTGAAATACAGATGTAAAATAATACTGTTAAATTTATTATAAATGTTTTTTCACTAAGTAGTTTTTCATTAATGAGAGCTTAGGCTAAAGATGTGGTCTACGGAACAAATTCCAAGGAATGCGCTCTATTGTTCACCAAAATTAATCCTAAATCTTACATTAATGCTCCAAAAACACAAAGGAACAAGATTTGGGGAGTCAAGAGAGGATTGTTGTTTCTGAGTTGCCCTATGACACAGGAGAATTCTTGTACTCTAGCATGAAAGGGAGTTTACAAAATGAAGGAGAACCTACGAAAACACAAGTATGATATTACCCTAAACTGGATTTTTTTTCTACAGCATTATACTGAATATGTTTATCGTAATAAAAAAATGCACAAGTGATTAGTATTTACCTTTTCATGGCAAACACGGAAAATATGTCTCAGCTCTCATAATTATAATACTTGGTTCTTTTTTATTTTTCAGGAAGAAGAAAATACTATCTCATCTATAAAGCTGTATCAGCTCTAAAGGTGCCCAAGAGGTCCCAGCTTCCTTGTGCAACAGTATGCGGTGATCACTAAGAAGGCTGGGCACCCCCTGAAGCAATAGTGGGTTTCTTTAAGTGTGTATGTACCATGCAGACATTTTCATTTCTAATACTGCACCACTCCAGTGTTGAGTTGCCTGACTCCATGGAGAGCTGCATGCTTTTTAAAATGCAAGATCTGAAAATAAAAATAAAACATCTGGGAAACCTTGCTTTTTCTCTCTCTCCCACTCTACTAAATTTACTTCCATACAACAGAGCAGCTAAGTGATTTTAGGATGAATATTGGAGAATATTCTGGTGAAAAAAATAAGAGAAGATGAACTGGTATATAAAGCAACTATGATTTTCTTGATTTTTTCCCAACTAGTTACTTTAAATGGGAAAAGATCTGTTAAGCCAGGTAAGTGATTATATGTCCTTGGGCAATTACAACAACAGAATTAAATTTTGGAAAACTTACTGAAGAAGGAATAAGATTAAGTAACAACAGCATGTTTTCAAAATAAAATTGATTCTAATAACACTGCTATATCATAATATTGCATGGTTTATAGCTTTACATACAAATATTTAAAATTGCAGAATAAAACACTTACTAGGTACTGAAAGACTTTTTATGATGAAATTAAATCTGATCTTGCACTAAATGTTCAGATTTTGGTATGGACTTCTATTACAGTTATGATCTGATATAAAAAAACTAAATACAAGAACAAAGAATCAAGTGTACGTAAAGACCCCTGTAGGGAACATTTTCAAATAAAGGCTACACAAATGGGTGTCTTTCTAATAGAAAAGAATAAATAATCTTTTGTTAGTTATTTATTAACTTTTATATTTAGCTAAATTGTATTGTTAACCTCTGCTTGAACCTTGCCAAGGAAGGAAAGGGCATATATTTTCTATATCAGGCCAAATTTAAGAATTAACTCTGAAATTCAGATGGCAAAAAGTAGTAACAAGGAGTCATGGGTGTTAAGTCTTACTTCTTGTCTAAACTGGAAGCGGTTTTTGCTTGTTTAATTCAGCATATGTTTCTGAAATGACCGAGTTAAACACAGGAAACATTTCTTTAAAAAA